CGACGGACGACCCTCTCGCTTCTGTTTCCTGAGCCGCCAGAACACAGGGCCGGCCCCTGCCCCTGCCCCCTTCCCGCTGGCCTCTGGCACGAAAGCACGCAGGCTTCCTGTCCCTCCATCCGGCAGACAGGCCTGGTGTGCCAGAGGCCTGGCCCGGCTGGGTGTAGGAGGGGCCCTGCGCTTGCGTGTGCGCTGAGTGACCTGTGGAGCAGAGCTGGGTCAGAGCGTGTCCCCGGGTCCGGGACAGGGGGCGTCTTCGGACTGGGGTCTCACTGCTGAGTGATGGGGCAGGGCTCAGTGATCCTGTCTCCATGGCAGAGACAAGTTAGGAAAGGGTACAGCGAAACAGAGAGACAGGGAGAGACTGGCACACAGGAGTGGTGCTGGACACCCAGCGGGACACAGGGCTTAGTGAGAGGACATGGCTGCAGGCTCACGTCCACGCACTCTGTGGCTGCAGGCCCGTGTCCATGCACTCTGATGGTGGCCCCCAGTGCAGTGAGCAGACTGCGCTGTGCGTGGCAGCTTTGACAGGGGACAGGCAGGGGACAGGCAGCCAGACAGAGACCGAGGAACGTGCATGGAGACAAAGGCAGAAAGCAGAGTGTTTCTGAAGAAGACAGAAGGTGGAAAGCAAGAGGCAGAGAGCCTGAGACTTGGGGCTTCTGTCTGTGCAGCAGTGCACGTCCACGGAGCAGCCTCTGGCTTGAGGCTCTGACCAGGGCGGTCACTGAACCCTGCGAAATGTGGGGGTCATGCTTCCATTTTACAGATGAGGACATGCAGGCTCACAGGGCTCAACTGCTGTGCCTAGGGTCACACAGCTTGTGACAGCTTATAAATGCTAGAACCTTTGGACTCCAAGATGGGAAGGGGGGTTCAGAGAGAGACAGGGAGAGGGAGGAAGGGAGGGAGCGAGGGAGAGAGAAAGAGAGAGGGAGGGAGATAGGGAGGGAGAGAAAGGGAGAGAGGGTGGGAGGGGCCAGCAGAACCAGAGCCGGCAGAACCCACACAATCCAGGCGACCTGCCCATCAGCCGCCTTTGGCTTGAAGAAGTACCTGGCGGGCAGCCCACCCTTCTGGGGGATCAGGTTCTGGGGGAGCCTGGCCCCTCCCACTTCCTTTCTCGTCAGCATCTAAGGCCCCATGCCTATTCCTGGACCACCCTGGGGGTTCTTCAGAAAGAACAAGAAACAGCTCTTCCTGGAATGAATGCCCAGAGGGTCTGACAGTGCCGAGGGTGTGGGGATAGGTGCTGGAGTGGGGCTGGGGCAGCCCCCGCTCAGTGAGTGTGTCCCCTGGGCTCTAAGCACTTCATCTGCACTAGCTCAGTGACGGTGGGCATGACAGCCCTGTGAAGGGAAGTCCTCTATCCTCCCCATGTTATAGATGAGGGGACCAGGCTTGAGCAGGCTGGGAGGGGGGCGCAGGCTCCGAGGGTACCCTTGGCTGCACCACCTGCCGGAGACGTCCCTCTTGCTTGATGGAAGTCTCCCTTCCATCAGCGCCACTCTTGCTGTTGGCCTTCTGTAGAAATGGATCTTTTCCCGTCCACTAGGAGCTCTACCCCTCCCAGAGACCCCAAACTCGTTCCTCTCATCCTCCTCCGAGTAGGGGCTTCCCGTGGGAGAGGAGCAGGGGAGGGGGAGCTGGGCTGGCTCAGCGTGGGCTTGGAGGCGGAGAGGGCGGGGCTGCTGGGGGCCGTGCAGGCGGGACTGGGGATTGGGGACTCGGGGGGCCTGGCCTGGGGCCCAGCTGCTTTGCATCTCGAGGTGGAGGAGAGAGAAGTGTCAGCTCATTCTTGACTGGAAACACATCCCAGTTCCCACGCCTCTGATCCCTCTGATCGCTGCCTCTGATCTGCATGTTGCTGCAGCCCCGCACCCCACCCCCTTCTCCTGCCTGGCCCGCTGCCAGGCTCCCCTTCCCCATAACAGGCTATTTAAAAGAGACGCAAAGCCCCTGGGATTCCCATCTGGGCTCCAAAAAGACTGGAACCACTGGGAGGCTTCTGCCAGCAGCCTGGGTCCCAGCTCTGATCCTACGGGCTGTGTGGCTTTGGGCAAGTGACTTGCCCTCTCTGTGTCCATTTCTTTATCTGTAGAATGAATACTGATAGCTACCGCCACGGACGGCTGTGAGCCTCAAATGAGCTGCTCCCTGTAAATCGCTTAGCGCCCTGCAGTTCCTCAACACCGCAGTGGCTGTGCTGGGGGGGGGGAAGGCGTCTGGGTCCCCCAACCAGGGGATAGTGGAGGAAGGGGACTGAGTGGGGGGCGGGGCATCTGTGTGGGAAGAAGGCGCCTGCAGTGGGGAGATTGGGGTGCATCTCAGTGAGTGAATCAAAGGCCCTGGGCCGGGTGGGGAGCTAGCAGTTGTGTGATTTAACCGCCTTGAGGGGTACAAGGATTGTGTGGGTCCAGTGCTGCGGGACTGGAGAGGGCTGGGAGAGAAAGGACCAGGCCCAGGGCCCCGATCCCCTCGGGAACACGGGCTCCATGGGGACAAGTCTGGGAGGCCAGGCTGGTGGCCGGGCTCCTGGGCGGGCCTGCACCCCGTCTTCAGGGGCTGAGGCGGCTCAGGCCAAGCCCTTCCCCTCCCTGCCCGGCTCCCCACCCATCTCCCCCTCTCTGCTGACCACCCACTGGTCTCCCCAACCCCACCCCAGATTCCAGTCCCGCTACCGGCAGCCTCTTCCTCCTCACGGCAGTCCTCCCCTAAGGCCCTTTGGGAAAACCGTGTCCCACCCTTCAGGCAGCTGTCCTCTGGCCATTAGAGTCTCCCCTGCCCACCTCCAGCCCGGTCCACTCAAAGTCCTCCAGTAGTTGGTTGAGAGGAGGTGATGGGGGAAGGGGAGCTGATGTAAATGGAGGAAGGACTTTCTGTGGGTCCAGCCTCTTGTGCCTCAATGTACCTGCGGCAGCTTTTGTCCCCTTACTGTGGCCTTGAGCTCTGGGGACAGATCCAGGCCAGGGGACGCCTGGGGCCCTGGTGTGTCTGGAGGTGACGTTCACCCAGGGATGGTCCTGGATCTAGACAGATTGACCTCCAACCGAAGGACAAGGGCCCCAGGCCAGGGCCGAAGCGGGGACCCAGCAAGAGGGGCGTGTGGAGCCGGACTGGGCTCAGGGTCCTGTGGGTGGCCTGGCGGGGAAGGTCACTGGGGCCAGACAGGGCCAGCCTGGGCCTGGCAAGGTGGCCGGATCAGGGCAGGGGCAGAGGGAGTAACTTGGGGACGTTAGGAAAAGGAGCCCGCTGTTTGGGGGGATGGGGGCATGTGTGGGGTAGGCTGTGGGTGGCGCCCTGGGACAGTCCATGGGATCTGGACACTCCTGCCTGTGGCCTGGTCCCTGAGGACGGGCTGAGTCCCCCCCTCACCCACTCAGAGTGAACCATAGGAAGGCGGCTTCTGGCCCTGACCCCCCCACACATCCCACCTTCGGAGTTGAGGGCAATGGGAGGGCAGAGCCGCCCCCACTTCCTGCCCCCACAAACGCACATTCCAGCCAACCTCCATTTCCTGAGCACCCCCCCCCCCAGCGCACACTCTGGCCCCCCAGGCCCTGGTGCCCCGGCTGACCGAGCTTCTCAGGCCCGTGATGCCTGAGGCCTGGTGAGTCACTTGCAGTGAGTTAGGTAGGAGCTGAGGGGGTGATCTGCCCCCCAGGACCTGTGATGGGGGCAAGTGGCCCACAGGGGGGCCCTGCTGCTCTGCATGCCTGGAGGACGCTGGGCAGAGGTCCACGGTGGGGGGAGGACACCTGGGGAGGAGAGGTGGGAGGAATGTACACTGCACACCTGAGTGGCTGTGGGCTGGAGGGCGACTGACGGGGGGAGGCCCGGAGCAGGGTTCTGGCTCCAGGACCCCGAGGGAAGGGGCCTGCCTGGAGCTGGAGCTGAGAACGGCGTCTGTGGGGACCCTGGGAGTGTGTGGGTGGGGGCGTGGGGTGGGGCCAGGCAGCAAGCATTCCAGAGATGCTCGGGGGTGAGAGGCCTGGGACCTTTCTGCCGGGGAAAATCTTAAGCAGATGTGGAGGCCTGGGCGGGCGGGGAGTGAGTTTTAGGAACACTGAGCGAAATCTGAAACCGGCCATGGGGGTGGCCACTCAGGAGCTGGGCCTCCCTGACCTGCAGGGGAAGACTCATCTGAGGTCCTGACCCTCTTCCCACCCAGTGGGCGAGGCTAGGGGTGGGAGACGTGGTCAGGAGCCCATTTGCAGATGGCTGATAGGTGGCCAGAGGGAGGAGGGTGCTTCTCTGAGGCCGGGCTGGCACCTCCTGGAGGACAGCACCTGGGGTTGAGTGCAGTGGTGTGCTGGCTCTGGTGTTGGGGGGCGGGGGGGTGGCTGGCCCATTTCCATGGTGTAAATAACCCCATGCCTGAGTTTCAGCTACTGAGTGACATCCCTGGACCGGGAGCTGGGAAGGGACAGCACCGTTGGTTCTCGGGGGTCCACCTTAGCGCCCGCTCACCAGTAGTTGAGAGGGGTCTCCTTCAAGGTCACCTGGGCCCATCCCTGTTTGTTCCCATCCCACATGGCAGGAAGCCCACAACCACGTGAGGGTGGTGTTTACCTCTGCCTGCATGCATCCCGTGATGGGGAGCTCACCACCCGCTCTGACTGTTGGAAAGTTCTTCCTCCAGCTGAGCCGCAGTCGGCCTCCCACAAAACTGCCCCCTTGGCTCTAGTGACACACCTCGGTGCACATATAAAAGCGCTCAGGGTGGCAGCTGGGCTGGGGGCTGGGGGTTCAGAGATAAACGGCACGGGTCCCTGCCTCCGGGGGTTACGGTCAGGGGACAGGCTCTAGGACAGCGGTGGGGTGGGTGCTGGGGGCAGTCTGCCAGTGGGGGCTGGGGAGCAGAGGACACAAGCGGCACTCAGGCTAACCCTTGAAAGGCAAGTGTTCGAGGGGAAGGGGGAAGGAGGAAGCAGTGTGAGGAAGGCCCAAAGCTACGCAGCTCACCTGGTCAGGCGTGAGACGGGGCAGCCGGGGCGCAGGCGGCATGGCCCGGACCACAAGAGGCAGCCGCCGCCTCTCCCGCCCCCTGCTCAGGTCTCTGCAGACACTTGGTCCTCTAGGCTTGGAGCTGCAGCGCCCCTCACCAGCTCATAGGCCTCCGCCATGTCGCCTCCTCTGCCCACCCTCTTCCTCCTGGCCCTGAACCTGTGGCCTGCTGGAGCCCTTGATGCCAATGACCCCAACACATGCAGCTTCTGGGAAAGGTGAGGGGCCCCCGCTGTGCCTTGAGGGCTCCCCGTTTCCCTCTGGGGGTTCCTCCTCCCTGGCCCTCTGGCTCTCCAGCCCTCACCTCCCTCCTATTTCTGCTTCTGCTCTCTGCTCCACGGGCTGCCTGACCCCCTCCCATCTCTGACCTTGGTTGTCTCCATCCCAGCTCTGAGCCTGTCTGTCCTTCCTTTATCCCTGTTCCTCCGTCCCCGTGGGAGGCTGGCCGCAAGACAGAGCGCGGGATGGGAGCCATTTACTGTGGGGCACGCAGAGGGGCCGGCCCAGGGGGAGCAAAGAACAGGGCTGGGGGGTAAAGCCGAGGGGCCTTATCTGACCAGAAATGCTCCAGCCCACCCCCACCCACTGGGCCCAGATGGCGGAGGAGAACAGAGGAGGGGAACGTGATAGCTCTGGTCCTGTAGGGTGAGAAGGGGTTGTCCCAGGAATACCCCAGTGCTGGGAGGACCCCTTCAATGGGGGACAGGATGGGGGTCCGCCCTAGGCTTGGGGGCGCAAGCCCAGATGTTGAGGTGGCGGGCACGCCTCGCAGCCCTGGGGCCCCTCCCCGCCGGGCCCCTGACCCGTCCCTGTCTTGCAGCTTCACCACCACCACCAAGGAGTCCCACTCCCGGCCTTTCAGCCTGCTCCCCTCGGCGCCCTGCGACCGGCCCTGGGAGAGCCCCCACGCCTGCCCGCGGCCCACGTGAGTGCCTGACCCCTCTGTGGGCAGATGGGCGGCCGGCGGGCTCTCCACGCGCGCGTTCTCTTCTCGGAACCATGAGTTTCGAGGAGGCTGCTGGGCTCAAGGCCCAGCGTGTGAGGGGTGTACCCCGCTTCCCCAGCGCAGAGTGCTGGGCAGTGCCACTTGTGTCAGGGGACTGAGGGCCCTTCCGGGTCTCCACAGGGTTGTCTACAGGACTGTGTACCGCCAGGTGGTGAAGACAGACCACCGGAGGCGTTTGCGCTGCTGCCTGGGCTTCTACGAGAGCAGCGGGGTCTGCGTCCGTGAGTCCTGCGTGGGCTGGGGGTGGGGCGGGGGGACTGGGCAGGCCTGGCCCATCCTCTTAGTCCTGTTCCTACAGGGCGGCTGCTCCTCTGCCCTTCCCTCGCCCCACCTGGGCCTGTCATCCCTAGGGACACAGCTGCCAACGCCTCCCTCCGTCTAGCTCAGCCCGCGTCTCTCCCCTTACATTTCTCTCCATGCCCCTCAGTGACCTCTCTCTCCAGAGCTCTCCCTCTGTCCCTGTGTGTCTGGGGGCTTGGTGTCTGGGTTGGTCTCCCGGCTCTTCCTGTCCCTGTCGCTCTGTTGCTACCTGTCTCTGACTTGTTGCTGTGCAGTCCCGCCTGCCCCTTGCCCCCAACACCCTGAAACCCCCGAACTGGGGGTTCTGCTCCCCTTCCCTCAGCCCTGGCCTGTCACCAGCCCCTGCAGAGACCCCTACCCAGCCCCAACCTGCCCTGGACCCCTTCCCTAGCCATGTCTAGTCGCTACCTGATGAACGCTCTCCCCATTTTCCTGAGGTCCTTTGAGAACTTCACAGAAAAGGGATGGGGAGCCGGGCCCTGGGGTCGGGTTCCCCTCTGGCCTGAGTTGCTGCCCTCAGTCTTTCTGCACATTAGCGGCCGCATTGCTTGTGGGGAATGCCAGGTCCCCGGTGTGGGAGGAAGATGGGCTCAGAGGATGCAGGTGGGTCCGGGCGGAGGTGCAGGCGTCTTCTCACCCCCTCTCCACCCTAGCACTTTGTGCCCAGGACTGTGTGCATGGCCGCTGCGTGGCGCCGGGTCAGTGCCAGTGTGTGCAAGCCTGGCGAGGCAACGACTGCTCCAGTGGTGAGTGGCTGGCGACGGTGGCAGGGCCCTCGGCACACCCTACTACCAGGGCACAGGTGCTTAGGGCCCCAGGGCATCATCCACTATTGCGGTCAGCTGCCTTTCCCCAGATATGGTGCGGGCTTTGGGCCAAAGCGGGCGTGCGACTCTGTGGGGGCTGGGAGACAAAGACAGGGATTACCTGGAGGCTGGGGAGGGGTGAGACCCCTGGTGACCCCCTTCCACCCTCCTCCCCTCACAGCGTGTGCCCCAGGAGTGTGGGGGCCACAGTGTGACAAGCTCTGCGGCTGTGGTAACAACAGCTCCTGTGACCCCAAGAGCGGGGCATGTTCCTGCCCATCTGGCCTGCAGCCCCCACACTGCCTTCAGCCCTGCTCCCCTGGCCGCTATGGGCCTGCCTGCCAGTTCAGTTGCCACTGCCACGGGGCACCCTGTGACCCCCAGACTGGAGCCTGCTTCTGCCCCCCAGACAGAACTGGGCCCAGGTGTGTAATGGGGGACAAGCACACTCATGGGGTCACAGACACAGGACCACACAAGCATACGTGGGCATGTGAGTGGACTCAGACAAGGCCCCTAATGCGGGGAGGGATTTGAGAGGCCAAGGTCCTAGTCCCGGCTCTGCCACTGGCTGGTTGCGTGACCTTGAGCAAATCCTTGACTCTGGGAGCTTGTTTCCTGATGTGCAACGGGGACAGCGTTGCCACCTGTAAGGGTGGCTGTGTGGACGCCACGAGAGAGCATGTGTGTGGAAGCACGTTGTAAAGCGGGGCAGAGACAGGGACCCAGAGAGCCCTGTAGCAAAGCAGGGAGCAGGGAGAGCTGGGAGAAGGCACTCCTAGGTGGGGAGCTCCAGGGCTGGGACCCCCATGCAGGCCAAGGCGTGCCCCGGAAGTAACAGCATAAGCAAAGGTGGAGGTGGAGGGGCACATGGGGCTGTGCACCCCACTGGACCTGGTGGAGCTGTGTCCTGCCATTTCCGGTCCTGACGCCTGCAGTCCCCCCACAGGGGAGGGTGGGGTGGACTCCAGAGCCCTGAGGCCAGGCCTTTCCCCGGGGAGGGCCTGTGTGGTCGGCAGGTAGGGCTTATTCACACACTGACCTCCCCTGCTCTGCCCGCAGCTGCGAGGTGTCCTGCCTCCAGGGCACTGCTGGCACCTTCTGCCCCAGCACCTCTCCTTGCCACAATGGCGGTGTCTTCCAGGCCTACCAGGGCTTCTGTAGCTGCCCACCTGGCTGGATGGTATGAAGGGTGGGGCCTGTGGGGATGGGGTGGAGGTCTGGGGACAATTCTGTGGGTGGTTCTCAGCAGGGCTCCCAGGAGGATATTTGTGAGGGGGGTGGGCTCTGTTGGCCCTGGAGAGGTTTGAGGGCTCTGGGTCTGGGAGAATCAAAAGGGTCCTGTGGCCACGGGGGCCAGGCGCCTAGGCTGTGTTGCCCTCTCACCCCACAGGGCACCATCTGCTCCTTGCCCTGTCTGGAGGGCTTCCATGGACCCAACTGCTCCCAGGAATGTCACTGCCACAACGGTGGCCTCTGCGACCGGTTCACTGGGCAGTGTCGCTGTGCTCCGGGCTACACCGGGGATCGGTGAGTGGCACTGGCAAGGGCGGGAGGGGCGGGGGGCGGTCCCGGAGGGGTGGGCGTGGCCAGGCTCACTCAGCTAGGCGCCCAGGTGCCGTGAGGAGTGCCCCGTGGGCCACTTCGGGCAGGACTGTGCCGAGACGTGCGACTGCACCCCCGGCGCCCGCTGCTTCCCAGCCAACGGCGCGTGTTTGTGCGAACACGGCTTCACCGGCGACCGCTGCGACGAGCGCCTCTGCCCCGACGGCCTCTACGGCCTCAGCTGCCAGGTGCCCTGCACCTGCGACCCGGAGCACAGCCTCAGGTGGGCCGCGGGACACTGGCCAAGGGCTCAGGAGGCCGTGGGAAAGGCCTTCTGCGCCGGAGCCGCCGGAGTCACAAAAGCGCCAGGGGACTATCCAAGGGCGGGACAGACGCCACTGAAGGGAAAAGAGAGGCCTCGGGGATGGGGAAGGGGGTGTTCTCGGAACAGCACCGAGTCTCTTTTTTGGCTCCCTCACTCGGCGGCGACGCGGGCTCTCCCCGGCAGAGGGGTCTGGAGGTAGGCCGTGGCCCCAGCTCAAAGCACCCCCGCCTCCGCCCGCAGCTGCCACCCGATGAGTGGGGAGTGCTCGTGCCAGCCGGGCTGGGCCGGCCTCCACTGCAACGAGAGCTGCCCGCACGACACGCACGGGCCCGGCTGCCAGGAGCACTGCCTCTGCCTGCACGGCGGCCTCTGCCAGCCCGACAGCGGCCTCTGCCGGTGCGCGCCTGGCTACACGGTGAGGCGCGCCCGGAGGCCAGGACCGGGGCCCCGGGGTGCGGGGAGGCGGCAGAGCCGGCCCCCTCACTGGTCTTCCCACCGCCTTCAGGGCCCTCACTGCGCTAGCCTCTGCCCGCCCGACACTTTTGGAGTCAACTGCTCTGGACGCTGTTCCTGCGAGAATGCCATTGCCTGCTCGCCCATCGACGGCTCTTGCGTGTGCAAGGAAGGTAATGGGGCGAGGCCACGGGAAGAAGCGGGGGTGGGGGAAGTGTGTGGGGGTGTCCAAGGGCAGGAGGCAGGCTGCGGGGTAGGGGCGGAGCCACTGGGCAGCAGCTGGACGGTGGGAAAGTAGCCAGACTGCTTCCTTCCTGGAATCTCCACGTTGCTTTTTCTTCAACTGCAAAATTCCCACTCGTCCTTAAAGGCCCAGGCCAGAAGGCCCTTCCTGGGTGAACACTGCTCACCCTCAGTCATACAGAACCACACAATGGCAGCGCCGGGCAGGGCCTCCTGGTCTACCATGGCTGGTGTGGTGGCAATGTTTGGGCTGGACTCTGACACAGATGTATTTTGTTTGGCTCGCTGTGTCCTGTTTAACAAACTTCCAGTCCCAGTCCCCACTCCTCCCTACTGTCTTGCACAAGATCCAGATAACTCATTCAGTTACGGTGGGGCCTCTGTAAGCATTGGATTTGCTGCCAGCCGCCTTCATTTGCCAAAGAGGCAAGCAAGACCCAGAAAGGGGTGGTGCCTGGCCGGCATCCACTTAGCTTTCTGCTCCAGTATATATGCGCGTTTCTTGTACTGGGCCAGGAGCACCCCCACTCCACCCCAGCTCATAGCACAGAGCCTGGCACAGCCAGTACCCAGTGTGTGCTCGCTCAGGAAGGGAGCTGGGTCCCCATGCCTACCTGCAAGGCCCCTCTTTCAGGTTGGCAGCGTGGTAACTGCTCTGTGCCCTGCCCGCCTGGAACCTGGGGCTTTGGTTGCAATGCCAGCTGCCAGTGTGCCCACGAGGCAGCCTGCAGTCCCCAAACTGGAGCCTGTACCTGCACACCTGGGTGGCACGGGGCCCACTGCCAGCTCCCCTGCCAGGTAAGTGCCCAACAGCCTGCCTGCCTGGGGGAGGGGAGGCATAGCGTCCCCCCAGCTGAACTGCCCTACCCTCTGTGCCCCCTCCAAGAAGGGACAGTTTGGCGAAGGCTGTGCCAGTCGCTGTGACTGTGAGCACTCTGATGGCTGTGACCCTGTTCATGGACTCTGCCAGTGCCAGGCCGGCTGGATGGGTGAGCATGCTGGGTGCCCAGGCCCCAGACCCACTCTGGAGTTGGGGATGCATCTCACAGGAAATGTGCTCAGAGGAACCCCTATAGAGGGGGGCCGGGTCAGATCACCCTACCCCTCTCTCCCACAGGTACCCGCTGCCACCTGCCCTGCCCTGAGGGCTTCTGGGGAGCTAACTGTAGCAACACCTGCACCTGCAAGAATGGAGGCACCTGCATCCCTGAGAGTGGCAACTGTGTGTGCGCACCGGGATTCCGAGGCCCCTCCTGCCAGAGGCGTGAGGCCCCACCCCTCCCGTCCTCCGGAGCCATGAGGCC